AATTTTGAAGTACAAATCTTGAAAGCTTGAATTTCTAAGTTCAACTTTTGACGCTTACAAAAACTCAATTGAAAAGCTTAAAGCGTGAAATTGAAATGTTGAAATTAGAATAACTTTTGAACGTTAACCCTTAAAGGTTAAATAAAGACGTTTAACCTTCAACTTTAAATCGTGGAAGCTCTATTTTCAAACTTCCTCATGATCAAAGCTAGAATTTTTAATTGACATTTTAATAATTGCGACATGAACCATGAATACAATACAACAGATTTGATTTAAATATCATGTTTCAGTTCAATATTTTGAAAAAGAAGCTTGGATTATTTATAAAACTTCAATTTTGAAGCTCAAATTTTGGGTGCTTGAAGTTTGAATCTTGAAGCTCATAAATGTCATTGTTTGAAAGTCTCAGACGCAAATGTAAAATTTGAATTTTAAAGCATGAATGATGAATATCAAAGCTGTTGACTTTTGACCCACCCAAACTTTAAACCCCGAAACTTTAAAGATTGTTTGAATTTTGAATCTCTGAAATTTTGATTCTCAAACCCTGAGATTTGAATCGGGATTTATAAAGCTTAGGTCTTTTGGATCTTGATTCGTGCATTTTTGAATTTGAGATTTGATAGTAAGACCTTTATACCTAACTTGAAGTTTGAGTTTTGAACCTTGAAGCCTAAACGCCAAAGATTGAGTCTTGATGCTCGAATGATTCACATGTATACGCTTATAAAGGATTTGTGTATGAATATTGCTTTGAAGTTGCATGTTGCGGATTAAGCTTGAAAGGTGAACGTTAATGCTTAAGTCTTAAATATTAAAGGTTAAATGTAATAGCTTTACTTTGATATGTCAGTCTCTAAGTGTGTGGTTTATCTGGAAGCTTACAGCTTACGCTTTAAGTATTGATACCTAAGCTTTAGATATTAAAATTTTGAAGCTTGGTCACCAAAGATTATAATCTTGGAGCTTGAAATTTGATCATAGAACTTAAACTTTAGTTTTAACTTCAGTTTCGTTTAAACTGTTGATCTTTGAATCTCTTAAGTTTGAAGCTTAAACGTAGAAGTTTAGTTACCAGAACCGGAATTTTGAAGCTATGGTCTCACAAACTATATGTTGAAGTTTGAATCTTGATTTGGATCTTGAGAGTTCACTGCTGAGCCTTAAATCTTTTATTTTTTTATTTTTTTTATTTATTAGCCTTTATTTTTGAGTGGTCGGGGTTTTGGCGGAGGCTGCTCTATCAACCCAACCCACTATACATTTACAAATATCCATGCCCGAACCCGGATTCGAACCAGGGACCCTTAGCACCACAGTCCAGCTTCAACGCCACACAGCCGGATTAAAGTTTGAATTTTTGTGGCTTTGGAGCTTGAATCTGAGTTCTAAAGCATGGCTCACAAAACTTAGATCCTGAATCTTCATGCTTACAGTTTGAATTTTGAACCTTGAGCCTTATAGTCTTGTAGATTGAAACCTCGCTCTAAAGTTTTGGTATTGCAAATAACGAGACTCAATTTTGACGCTCGAATTTTGAAACGTGTATAACTCCAAAATTGAATTTTCCATCTCGAGGCTTGAATTTTACAGCGTTTATAATCAAACGTAAATGTTGTACAGAGTGGTTCAAATTCATGGCTCACCATTGGGATCTCCGTAACGGTGAGAGATCCAGTATAGGTTAAATGGGGGCAAAGTTACCCCTCCTTGTGACTAAAAAAACGCATTTGAAATTTTTGAAATCGCCGAAAACCTAAAAACGTCCAATTTTGTTTTCATTTTCATTTCTATGGCCTCGTTCTTTCGGAGAATTTGATTATATTACCAGAACGCTACCTGTAGAAGCTATACAGACAGAATCAAATTGGCACCCATAAGAAATAAGCAAGTAGTTGAGCTTCTACATCTGGTGCGTTGTGAAAATTCTAATAACTGATTCAAATTTTTCGCCCATAGAAGGTGCTAACGACGGGAACCGTCCATTTCCCAACGAAAGGAATTAATTTCTACCAACCATAGCCCTCCTTCCCCACCTCTTATCGTGATCGGGTATATTCCCTTATACCTCAAGAACGGATTGTCGGAAGAGGGTACTCACAAAGGGCGATTGAGGCGTCTGCAAGAAATATACCCATTGGTGATGTCAAAACAAAAGCTATTTCGGTTAAAAAATGCGCTTTATCTGCACAAGAGTTGTGCACAATTTATACTTGTTTTAATGGAGCATAGACAATGTAAACGTTTTCGTTTTTAGATGGTTTCCGGAAACAAGATGCTCCGTGCATCAAGGAATGTAAATGTTGTAAGGGGGGGATAGCGTCAACCTTGTTGACGAGTAATAAATACAAATGTGCTCTATTTAATTCAAAATATCAATTTTGAGTTTTCCATAATCTAGAATGACTGGCAGTGTATTGCATTTTTAGAGGATATTTTCGAAAGAAAAAAAATCCCTTTATGTGGTCGTTTTGTCCGTCTGTCCGTCTGCTTTGTTCCGGATTAAAAGTCTGGTTTCCGAGCCGAGTGGCAAAAAATTCCCTTACTGAAAATCGTACGCGATTCTTCGTATCTTGTTGTTATGTCAGCCACCGTATCGATACCCACAGAAATCTGGCTTCCGGTGACGACCTCAGAAACCTACGTCCGCACATCGGATTAGCTAAATTACAAGCATTATGAGAAAAGTATAGCAACACTTCGAAATTTTGCTGCAATTTCGGCGTAAATATGAAAAATCGCGGTCACATTTTTAGCGCATTTTTGCAAAAATTTTTTTTGTAAAAAGTAGCTTTTAATCTCACTTTGGCTGGCTGGTCGGCTGGCTGGCCGGCTGGCTGGCAGTAAATGCGCGCCCGTAGAAAAACGCTTGTAAAAAGACAAGGAGTGCACATGTAACTATCGGGGCCGTGTAATTAAGAACGTTAGGGATGGGGCTACAAGATTTGGAGTCGACGACATCTGGACGCCATCCCCGAGCGTATTATACTAACCTGGAGATTTTTCAGTTTTTATCTATCTTCTTCTACAGTTTTTCTCCGATTGTTTTCAAATTGGTGTCGTCGGGAAGATCTTGTCAACGCGCACAACTCCTGCGTTGCGGAATTTTGTTTTTTTTTCCTAGGGGCGAAATAAACCACCTTTTGCGCGGCGCGCTTCGAGGGGTAGTCGACTTTGGGCGCCCAAAAGTTTCTTACAGCGCGAATCGCGGTCTCTCTTTCTCGTGTCACTAATAGAAGGTCGAGCTATGTGAAGTACCCAAAAGTTGAATACGATTTTATGCCGGGATTTTAGCGAAATCTACCAAAATGTGAATTACGAATGAACGGGACGTCGGAACTGTGTATCGACAAAGGGAATGTGGTAACCCCCGACGAGATCTTACTGATGGTGGAGTCGAAACTTCAAATCAGAATTGTTGCGGGTGATCAGAAGTGGGTGTCGACAAAGGGAATATGGTAACCCCCAAAGGATTTTACTGATGGTGGAGTCAAAACTTCAAACGCGAATTGCGAGTGCACGGTAAGTGAGAAAATGGTACCGACAAAGTGAACGTGGTAGCTTTCCGCAAGATCTTATTGATGGTGGAGTCAATATTGGCTAATAAAACACTGATCTGCCACACAAAAATGCGCTGAAGTCCCTTCGATCTCACACGAGGACTTTGATCATTTTTTACCCTTCCCTACGCCAATATAAGTGTATTTTGGAAAAAGTTAAAACCATTCAAATATTTGGCGTCGTTTCGGCCGAAATATGAGAAATCACGTGTCTACGATGTCCGATCTCATTTTTTTCCATTCCATTGTATCCTTTGATCCCAACACCTATGTCCGCATACCAAAATGTTAAAATTCTGAGCATTCTGAAAAAGTAGAAAAATCGGAATTTTTAGCACGATTTTGGACCAAATATGAGAAATCGCGGTTTTTCACTTCCGGCCTCATCGTGGG